GATTCATTTTGTATTTATCATACGATAATCAACGTTGGATTAATCGATGCTCTATTGTATACGAAACTGATATCTGTAATATGAGTATATTTTTTCTGTATCTACTTCACGACATGCAATGATTACTCATTTATTTATATAACGAAGTTGTTATGTATGTTATAAGTAGACTGTATATGTATGTATATATTATATATTACAAACACACATATATATACATATATACTATATAATTAGATTGTTGTAACTATATCATTTTATATATTTTAATATTTTCTTCTTATTTTGACCTACAGAATGTGACTGTGACGATATTTATAATATTGCATTACGATACTTCCGGCAATATTTATGGTAGATTTTGTAAAATATAGTGTTACGATTACTTTTCTAAATATTTATCGAAAAGCACAGACATGGAATCTTATAGATTTTCGATACTCAGAGTGACATCTTTTACATTTTCATTTCTAAATTTTTACGTAAAGTCTTTTAACATCTTTCATTTGTGTGATTTCTCAGAAGAAATTTTCTTGTACAATGATAAATAAAAGTGATATTCCACTGAGACCATATATATATATATATATACACACAAGCTACATACATGTGTTGTAAAATATTAAAGTTCGTACATCGCCACCGAAATAGTAGATAGAAAGGCAATAAAAAAATATTTTTAAATCTCATGGATACAAAACACTAGTAGGCATTTTTTGTACCGTTGATTACGAGCCCGCAGTCACATTATAAACATGTTTAGTCTACACAGCGGCTTTACCGACTTACTGTGTTTAAACTGGAAACACTCAACACTATCGTGGAAAATATGAATGATACGAAAAAATTCTCAGACAAAAATTTCACGCTATCAAACTGGATGTATGTGCTATTGCCCTTATACCATTTAAACGATTATTAAATAGTGAGTTCGCCAGTTCTTCCAAAGGTTAGTGATTATTTATAATAAAGAGCTTGTCTTTTTTTTCGTAATAAAAAAAAATTTCCTTGTTTCAAAAGTCACCCCGTGAACACACACAGAATTATAATTAAATTCCCGTTCTAGCGGGTTCACAAATAACATACGATTTATCGCACACGTCATTTCATTGATGTGTTGTCTACGAAACATCCACTAGCTTGTAGGCCGTCAATAATTAATTACTGTACCACGAACCAACATAAATCTTCTGTATTAATCTTTTGTATTAATAAAATTAGTAAAACTCCATTAATAAAATTCACCGGCGCACTTTCCGGTCCGAGACCGCGGACAAAGATCCAGGTTAACCTAATTTCTCGTCCGCTCCGAGAAAGACCCATTCTCATCGCCGCTGACAATAAAAAGAAAAAGAAAAAAACAGAATATCAAAAAGCAACCAGAAAACGAAATCCAAATCTACGGAGCGAATCAACATTTAAACACATCTTGTCTACCAGGTCGTCGGATTCTCTGTCCGCGAAGATCAAACAATTAACCATACTCTCGACCCAGTTCACCACAACGCACGAAGCTCGTCGCAAAAGCTTCTCTCGCTTCCAATTTTCATTTTTCCGAGCGCGAGAATACCACGGCGCTAAAGGGTTCGTCGTGAAAGAGAGGCCACGCTCGCTGAGACAGGTAGTAATTAACAGGAACATCGGCGCGGAGTCCTGTCGATATCCTTCAGGACTCGTTCGCTTCAGGCCTCGTTAGAGCGTAATTGATTCGCGGAAAGAAGTGGGCCATGCTCGAGAGAAGAACGACGGTGGGACATCGATCAAATTAGAAGCGAAACTCGACGACAAGTGTTAACGTTATCACGGGTCTCTGGCCGAAAAATTGGGGCCACTCGCAATTTCAAAAAATCGTTCAACGAAGGCCTCGATAAAATTTAATCTAGGCACAGTAATGATTAATAGCTTCAGTGAATTATTATTGCGCTCTATGTGTGGATAGATTAATAATTCGTATAATATTACGTAATACGTAATGTTTCGTTAATTTTTACAGGGATAGTAAATATTATAACCAGAATATGATTCGCAGAGTAATGATTTTTTTCTTTTTTTGTTTGTTGATTAAGAATAACGATTATAAGTGCTGATTGTAATTGTTTCGTTACCAACAATCATTATTAACGAAAGAAATTTATTTCGATCTCTTATACTGAATAACTTTTGTGGACACCATTTTTTTTAATCATAATATAATTATTATAATAATAATTTAATCGATTCATCCTGAAGATCGATAAATATAAATTTTCGTTTTTCTGAGAAGCTCCAAAATTTGACGCATCCCTTATTACTATAGTATATATAGTATTGTCATAGTATTACAGTATAAATTTATATAGTATATATAGTATTATTATGGTACTATAGTATAATTTCTATCATATATATTATAAATATATAATATATATTATAAAAATTGTACTATAATAATATTACATTATAATATTAGATATTACAATATATATATAATTTTTATAGTGTATAGTATTATTATAGTACTGTAGTATAATTTTTATGATATATAATATATTATAAATATATAATATTATATACAATACAAATTACACTATAATACTATAATAGTACTATATATATTATACTATAAAAATTATACTACAATACTATAATAATATTATATTATATTATATATTATAATATATATAGTATTATTATTACAGTATAATTTTTATAATGTATATAGTATTATTATAGTATTGTAGTATAATTTTTTTGATATATAATATATTATAATTATATAATATTATATACTATAAAAATTATACTATAATACTATAATAATATTATAATATTATATATTATAGTAAATAGAGTATTATTATTACAGTATGATTTTTATAGTATATAATGTTACATTATAATTACATAATATTATACATAATATATTATATATATATATAATATTATAGTATAATTTTTATAATATACAATATTATATACTATAATTTAATATTATACTACATATACTGCAATTTAATATTATATAACAAAGCCTGGTAGGAAAATCAACAGACTGAGAGTGTGGGGCTCATGCACGGCGAGGAAATTTCAATATAGTGGAGAAATCGATACAGTGGAGGGGATAGCGCTAGCGAACAGGAAAGTAGGGGCAAGAGTCCGCGGGTCGCCAGTTCGGCTCTGTTATACAATATAATTTTTTAATTGTATAGTATAATTTTTACTATTGTATTGACTGTTTACTATCTTTTTTCGTTAATTTCGACAACTACAGGAAGAAGAAGTTTGCCGAACATTGTTCCGCACGGTGGTTCGTCCCTGTTGCTAGTTAGCTCGCGAAATCCCTAGAGTAATACTTAAGCGTCGTTTGCGACATCAATTCTGGAGTGGTTGTTGTCCGGCTCTCGAAACATCGAATTTCGTCGCCCGGTTTGTCTTGGGAGCCGGATTGTTGCTTGTTTGACAGAGCTTTATTTAGAGAAATAATCAAGAGTGGTCCTTGGGACTGTCTCGATTGCCGACTGTTTCGTGCACGAAAATGTCGGCAATGCACGCGAATAGGCTACACCTATGTACATAAATAGGTTCCAGAAATAGGATTAATTGATCGAAACCTTGGAAGCGACTGCATTTGCCTCGAAAATCTGGCGAGAAGTCGATTTTCAAATCGTGTCTAAATCGGACAGTTTCTTGCTTTGTAAGGTTCCTGAACACAATAGTGTCTCCTTTATACTTTAATATTCTGTAATGTTATCCGAACAAAATATTTACCTAGCACGAGATGTCATTTCTCGGTCTAAATTTTACACGAAGCCAATTTCAACAAATTTCGAGTTCAACACTTTTCTATATGCAACACTCCTCAACGCTGGCTACGTCGCATTGCAAATAAAAATTTTTTGAGTTTTACGATTATTTTTGATGTATGAGGAAACACGAAGTTGTGACGTTGTGTATTGAAAAATAAATTTTCGTTTTCTGAAAAATGTTGTAATTTTCTTTTTTTTTTCTCGTGGACTCTTCGTATGTATTACATATTACACGTTTTACGTTTTTTTTTTTTTTTTTTTTATGTGTAATTGCAAGACTTTACTAAAATATGAAATACAAGATTTCAGTGAGAAAACAATATGTAACACATGTTATGTTTAATTTCATGGTAAATCTATTAGTTTTCAAAAAAAAAATCATTCTTAGATGCTAAAGTAAACTGACAGTCTTCATCATTATTTGAAAATATTTTAATATGAAAAAAAAAATTGTTCTGTTATTCCATTAACTGATATAGAAAAACAATATATGAAAAATAACATTTAAACGTTTATTCACTCAACGTTTATATTCTACTATAATAAAACTGAAGAGTCCAATACACGTTTTTCTCGTAATCACTCAGCGAAATATCATTCGTTCATTAGTGATTTTTATATCATATCAACTCTTTCTTCAGAGAAGTTTTTCTAAAGTGTACTTCACTTTCTAATAATTAATTGTCATTTTATTACTTATGCTTCTCTGATTGTCGATGTTTAAAATTGATAAACAATTCTGCGAAGTGCATTACGATTGATCAATAATTCTACGAAGTATATTACGTATTTTATTGTACGAGTGATTTTATTGTAGTTTCGAGTGAGTCTCGATGTTGTTTATAAAAATTAATATAGTTTTCTGTCCACACAATTTTTTTTTTTACGTTACTCGCTACTAACTAAAATAATTTTAGAAACAATATCAAGCATATAAGTGATATTAAACAATTTTCCAAATACTCGATGAAAACAAGAAAACTGTATGTAAAGCTGTTTTCTCGCAAATTAACAAATTTTATACTAAAACAAAATAAAATAAAATAACGTAATGCGACGTAACGTAACTAATATAATTTTCATACTTTTAATCGCATGCAATAAAATTGTCATCGAGTTACATGCGTAAGTTATTACATGCGTAAAAAGTGAATGAAAAATAATTTCAGCCAGTTTTTAGAGCCGAATAACGTACCATGCGAAATATGTACATACATGGAATTGTTATGGAGACGCGTGAGATTCGTGGGACATGGAATCGACGAGGAATGTAGCTGTCAAGTGGCTCGATAACGAAAAGCCCTGGGTTTGTCGCTGCGCCGAGGTACTTATCGCCTCCCTCGAAACAAGACTAAACAACGCTTGGCTCAATAACGGAGCTGGAATTCATCCGGAGCGCACACACCGCGTCTGATTCGGAATGAACGCGATGGAGAAACGTCTCGTCGGATGGCTCGCGAGACACGGCACAAACGCGTGTTAAATTAGCCGACGTGTAATTGACACAAGGCTTATACCAAAACCTCCCCTTTGAGCTTGCTACTGAAATCCGGCTGAGGACTCTATCGTTCTTACGTCGATCTAACTGCTGATACTAAAGCAAAAAAAAACATAACTAACAGGCTACAATCGCCTAAAATTCATTTCACCAGGAAATAATTTTCATCTATACATGGATGTTATAAATATTGAAATTTCGTCGAATTGTAGAATTTTGGTGGAAGATGGTAATGATAAAAAAAAAAAAAAAAAATAGAAAGCGAATTTTTGCAGTTTCCTTCCATAACCACAATATTAAACAAATATATAGAATATTACTATATATTCTATATATATTCATATAATATATATAGAATATATATTCTACATATTTTACTGTATATTCATAGTAATATATATAGAATATATATTCTATACATATTACTATATATTCATAACCACAATATTTAAAAAAATATATAAAATATTACTATAGATATTGTACGAATTGATTAAAAATAATTACAATGATGCAGCGTTAAAATTTCATATATGGATGTTGTAAATATTGAAATTTAGAAAAATTGTAGAATTTTGGTAAAAGACGACAATGATGAAATAAAAAGCGAATTTTTGCAGTTTCCTTTCATAACCACAATACTAAAAAAATATATAGAATATTACTATAAATATTACTATAAATATTGTACGAATTGATTAAAAACAATGATGCAGCGTTAAAATTTCACATATGGATATTGTAAATATGAGAATTTAGAAAAATTGTAGAATTTTGGTAGAAGATGACAATGATGAAATAAAAAGCGAATTTTTTGCAGTTTCCTTTCATAACCACAATATTTAAAAAAATATATAGAACATTACTATATATTCTATATAAATTACTATATATTCATAGTAATATCATCATATATATAGAATATATATTCTATATATTTTTCTATATATTACTATACATTCTATATATATTTTATTATATATATTCTATATATATTGCTATATATTCATAACCACAATATTTAAAAAAATATATAGAATATTACTATAGATATTGTACGAATTGATTGAAAATAATTACAAAGATGCAGCGTTAAAATTTCATATATGGATGTTGTAAATATTGAAATTTAGAAGAATTGTAGAATTTTGGTAAAAGACGACAATGACGAAATAAAAAATGAATTTTTGCAGTTTCCTTTCATAACCACAATATTAAAAAAAAAAAAAAAAAATAGAATTATCATAGATACTATAAATTGATTGAAAATAATTACAATGACGCAACGTTAGTCTCGTTGTTGTTAAAAAATAATTAAGTTGTTTCTACGTCGCACACAATATGTTTTTCTCGTAATCCCTCCTAGGTTCTTCCTTGCGGCTCAAGATAGCTTCCGGTTTGTCCCTGATTTACGATACAACTTTCGTTATTATTACATTTACATGGTTGTTTAGCTTAAACGAAATACAGGATAATTGAGAGTTCAAATTATATATTTAATGTATAAAATTCCATGTATAATTGCACATGTATCGTAATTGTATGTGCATAATTAGTTATTAGGAATTAAACAAATTAATTCAAACATAGTCCCGAGTGAACGAAATATACTCGAAATGTCGATTTTAGCAACATTTATCGGGGTCGTTGAAATCGATGATGACAGCAATTTTATTTACAAACACAAAAACCTACATCATCGAGTCTCGACTGATAGGAACTCCGATCATGAGGGCAATGGATTATCGAAAAATTGATTGACGAACAATTCAGGTACGGTCCTTTATGAAGGAAATTGGGAAACGAGAACAAAAGATTGAGAGTATCACTTGTTGCTCCCCTGATATTTACAAAAATAGTCGGAAAATTTTTTGATTGTGCCAAAAATTTTGATCGCTCAAACAATGTCTGCCTGTTACGGCCAGTTCGGATGATCAGAGCCTGCACTTAAGTATTGTCACACAGAGCAAGCAACTATAAAAATTCGATGCTTCGTGAAATAAAAAAAAACCAATCTCGATGCTTCAAAAGATAGTACTCGAAACGACAAGAATATAACGGCGTCATCGCGACACGTCCTCGAGGTGGTGATAAACTTCATTTTTCATTGTTTCCCGAAGGAAATAAACGGTGACTTCGATCAGGATACTTTTAACCCGGCATAATATTTTAGCTCTTACAGCATTTTCATCGCACGCGCCATAAACGATTATTACATCGTATTTTTCGCTATTACTGAACACGATAATAAACGCAACACTTTCCACGATGTTGTTTTTTACTTCGTACGACTGAGCTGAGTTATTATCGGCGACATCTAATATTTAACAAAAATTATGTTGCAAACATGACTCGCCACGATATTTAACGATGATAAAAAAAAAAAAAAAGAAAAAAATTAAGAACCTCTCTATCGCTTCGTATGATTCTTCAACTTTATTATGTATGGAATCTATTAAATTTTTAATGATATTAAACTTTAAGCGATATCCGTCTTGGCAGAACATGGAATCCACTAAATTTTTAACGATATTAAATTTCAAGTGATATCCCTCTTAAACTTTCTTGGTTGATTGATCGAACAAGAATCTTTATCGTCTTGCAATCGATAATTCTTTAAAGTCAAGCAATAACGACGTATCTAATCTATATATTTATTTATGTCGAGCATGTTTTCCTGTACGATAAGTACAAGATGACCAATTTGATTATCGAGTCTATTTCTAACTATCTCATTATGATATCTCGAAAATTTCGGAAATTTTTTCGTGTTATTTACCAGTTATTTAGAGACTAACACCTACGCACTTTTGCATCAGCCTGTATCATCATCGTTAGCAATAGGAAGAGGGGACGGCCTTGAGGCATCAATTGATTTCAGAAGTGACACACAGCCTGCTTGGTTTACTATCCAAACGATGCTTGTCCGCAAGTTTTCCCTTCGGAAACTTCCGCGCGATTTATGATCCTATTTCCAAGAACCGGAGATACCGAAAGTCAATGTTACGCTATCTTTCACGGTAAACTCCACTTGTTACGTGCATTCCTACACGACGTTCCCATTCACAAACACTCGTATCTCATTTCCTGTCTTATCAGCCTCGTCTTATCAAACCTCGCGCACATCTGTGTATCATTGTATCAGTAGAGCCGAAGATTGTCAAAATTAAAAAGAAGAGTTTGCTATTTGTACAAAATGTCCCGATTCTACGAATGTATAAACAAACATGAGAGAGATAAAACAAGATTTCTTCGTTGGAGACATCCTTTTTTTTTTCAAGTTTGAAAATTTGTCGAGCATATTTGAATTTGGCTAACTCTAAAAAAAAAACCAATTGATCGTTCTACGTACGAGAATAAATAAAGAACGTGAATATTTTAGAGGAATCACTAGCCGTCACTATTTTGAGAGAAATCGCTGCATCGTGAAATTACCGTGGGAAAACGAAATTGGCCATTTTGACCGATCTGGCGAGTCCAACGTCAATAAATAAACAGCGACGTCGAGCAAGAACGGAATGATCTAGCAAGGGGAAACACACACGCGCACACACACGCGCACACACACACACACACATATATACAGATATCTCTTTCACGGGCACGGGGGAGGAAATCGATTGTCACAGATTCCAACGAAGGATACCATCGATCAGTCGTACGTCCCCATAAACCATTCCGCCAGATCGGTGGACCGTGCGACCCGCAGGATTCGGAACGTCGTTCCTCCGATACTCGTGGTCCATTGGGACGATAGCAAAGAGAGAGAGAGAGAGAGAGAGAGAGAGAGACGAGCATCCGGCGTCGCGTACCAATTTCGTCGCGTTTCCAACCGATACGACGCCCGTATCAATCGTCAAACAGCACCGGCGCACAGAGGCGAAGGGTAGACACGCAGAAAGAGAGCAAAGTTGGCACCGATAAAGAAGCGGTTTTGAATCGCGAAACGGGAACGGCTCGCGTGGCGAACAATGCGCGCGGCGCTGGAATCGGTGCCGTGACTAGACGACCTTCGGACGAACTCGATATACGACGAGGCCAGCCATTCACCGTTGCCACGCGCGCGCCAGCTCGCGTGAATTTCCTTCAATTGGATCACGCCGGTTTCCCTGAATCTGGCCGGATTAATCCCCCGTCTCTGTCGTGTGGTTCACGCGTAGAAAAAGTGTTTCCGATTTCACGTTCTTTCGCGGACCTGCTTCTCCGGCTCGGGGTCAATTCGCGCGGATAATTCGGGTTCCAATGTAACTCGTCAAGGATCGCGCGAGCATATTGCGTTGCGTAACAGGTTTGTTACGCACCGTCGATGACATTTTTTTTTTCTTTTTTCTTGCGAATGTGTCTATTTTGTACGTATATTTACATTTTTTTTTTTTTTTTTGGCAGGTGTAAAAATCTGGGCATTAGAATAATTAGAGTGTTGGAATAATTAGAATATTTATAAACCAGAGTATTAGAATGATTAGAATATTTATAAAATAAAGTATTAGAATGATTAAAATATTTATAAACTGGAGTATTAAAATAATTAATTTATAAACCAAAGTATTAGAATGATTAAAATATTTATAAACTAGAGTATTAAAATAATTAATTTATAAACTAAAGTATTAGAATAATAAAAAATATTTATAAACTAAAGAATAATTAGAATATTTATAAACTAGAGTATTAAAATATTTGTAAACTAAAGTATTAGAATAATTAAAATATTTATAAACTAGAGTATTAGAATGACTAAAATATTTATAAACTAAAGTAGTAAAATTATTAAAATATTTATAAACTAGAGTATTAGAATGATTAAAATATTTATAAACTAAAGTATTAGAATAATTAGAGTATTAAAATATTTATAAACTAAAGTATTAGAATAATTAAAATATTTATAAACTAGAGTATTAGAATGACTAAAATATTTATAAACTAAAGTATTAGAATAATTAAAATATTTATAAACTACAGTATTAGAATAATTAAAATATTTATAAACTAGAGTATTAGAATAGTAATGATCAATCTTGGGGATTTCGATACAATTAACGACAATCCTGATACGATGGAATTAATTAATCTGGGTACGTGATTGATTTTTTTTTTTTTTTA